CACACACACACACACACACACACACACACACGCACACGCACACACACACACATGATTTAGAGTTCATGAAGGTTCATTCTGCAGGATGATGTATTGCTAATGGAAATGAACTATATGGGAGTGTGGCCATGCAGCAGTGAAGATGCTTACTGCATAACTACAACATGCATGGTTTAATTCTTGCTGTTAAACCGAACATGCTTCATGCTTCTACCTATTTTGGCTCCCTTTTTCAGTAGAGCGATGACTGCAGAAGTGTTTCTGCAGCCGACTGCTCGATCCAGAGGGCGCATCCCGCTGCAGTCCACATGCTCCACTGACGCACCGTGATCCACAAGGTACTGCACCTGGACACGGATCAAAGCGACATTTTTCACCACTTTTATAAATTCTCTACATTACATTGCCCTCTGCAGTGGCTGCAGAACAGGTAGGACAGGTAACTGTTCTACATTAACTAACACAATCATGGTTACTCTGGCTGTACACACCACATCTGGGTCTCCGCAGAATGCAGCCAGATCCAGAGGCGTGCGTCCATTGCGGTCTGCATGAGTTGTGGCTGCTCCTCTCTCCACAAGCTCTCTGACCAATGAGAGCTGGCCTTTTAGGCACGCCCAGCTCAGCGCCGTGAGCCCTTCTCTGTCGGTCTGTTCGAGGGAAGCTCCTGGAAACAGACAGATTCATTAGAGTCGGAGCTATTGTCAGGGTCAGAGTGATTAGAATGGGGGCTCTAAGGAAGACCTTATAAATAATGGCTACAAACACGGCCTCACTAGTCTCAGCACACATGCCATTTCTGTTAAAACCGTAAATTCCTACAGTGGCGTGTTTGATCACGAGGACAACAGATTCATTTCATATTTCTTTGTCAGGAAAGAGGAAAACACGTTTTTACAGCAGTGAGAATACTGTACTGTATCACAGCTGTGCTCTAAGATTAGCGTTTGTAGTTAAAGTATTATTGATTGGGACCAATCTCGTTTTCAAGGGTTTTTTAACATCTGAATCTCCTGATCAAAGAAAAAGTAAAAAATACTTTCTGACTGAACTGAAGTTGGACATAAACAATGTGACTGCTGGTTTAATTGCATCGCTGCAGCAACTCCTGCTGTTTTTCTGGCTGCAGAGTGCAGTGTGTGATTACCATGATCCAGCAGCAGCTGGGCAGTGCTCATGTGCCCCTCTGAGGCTGCAGTCATCAGAGCTGTTCGCCCCTGCTGGTCCACCATGTTCACCTCCACCCCCTGATTCAGAAACAACTCCACCACCTGACCGAAGGATGCAGGAAGAGGAAGACTGCAGTTATCTGCTGCAGGTAT